TTGGTTCTACTATTTGCTGGTTTAAGGCAAACCTGTCGCACATCCGTAGCAGGTCATTTGCATGTGCCTGTTCATTTAGGCTACTTCCTGGTATTCTTTCTGATATTACTGTATTAGCCAGGTGCTTCCATTTCAGGTGCCGTAGGTTGAAGTCCCCAAGCAGGATGATGTTCGGAGCTGGATTTGTGAGGTTTTCCAAGCAGTGTTCTATTTTCATTAGTTGGTCTTTAAACTGCTGAGGGTTTGCCTCCGGTGACTTATATACAAGGACAATAACTACATTTAAAATCTCTATTTTGATTATCAGCACTTCCACCATATCATTTGAGGTGTTTAGCAGCTCAGTACAGATGAGTGTGTCTTGGATGTAGAGGCTGACCCCACCCTGAAGCCGGTGTTTCCTATCACATCTGAAAAGATTGTACTCTGAGATCCATATTTCACCATCATGGTAGTCCTTTGTGTGGGTTTCTGTTAGGGCTGCAAACACTGCATTTGCCTCATGAAGGAGACCATCTATAAATTGAACTTTGTTGGATTTGCATGTTTTTATACCCTGGATGTTGGCAAATATAAATGATGTTATCGTGTTAGTGGAAGTGCTGGAAGCCTTACTTGGTGTTAATATCTGAGGCTCTGATAAGGAGGCCACTGTGTTTGCGTCCAGGGTGTGTCGTTTTGGAAGTGATTCGTCCAGTTTTGGTAGTAGGACGGGTGTTGTCTGGTGTAGCACCTGTGTGCTTGTTGGTAATTTGAATTCCAGTCTTGTTGGTATCTCCGTTCCCCTCTGTAATCCTGTAGTGGTTCCATCTGACTGTTCCTCTCTCTTATATTTACTACTCTGTTTCTGCCTTCCTCTAAAAAATTTCCAGTAGTGTCATATTGATCTTCCCGTCTATAACGCTCTGTACCTCTCACGTGGAATTCCGGACACTGAAGATTGTAGCATTTTTTGTCCCTTATTGAAAATTGACATAATTTAGGGTGGAAGTATCTGCACCCTGTTCCAAAACGGCATGTACTCCTCTCCAACATGTTCCTGCATTTTCGAGGATGCAGAAAATGGTATTTTGCTCCTAATTTTCCATATTTGCATATTCCTTTAGCGTAGAATTTGCAAATGTGTTCCGGTTTTGCGTTTTTCAAGGTATTTATATCTGCGACTGTCTTGTCAACCTCTTTATTGGAGCCATCTCCGTTTTTCGTCCCAATTCCATCATCTATGCACTCTGTCTCACTGTTGCTCTCATCGTTTATATTACCTGGCTCTGCAATATTGCTGTTATTTTGTACCACAATAGTCTCCTCCTCCACACTACTGCTGCGGCTCTCTAAACTATCTGTTCCTGAGTTTTGGTCGTTATCTAATGTTGACTTTTCCCAGTCCGCATATATCACTGGTAGCCTGTCTGTGAATGGTAATCTCTGTGACTCGGGAATGTTTTTCATCAGTTTAGTTATGTTCTCTAACATTAATCTGTCATCTTTGCAAACCCAGTAAATTCCTTGCCTTTTTATGCATCTTGGAGCTAATTCTGTACAGCCCAGGTGAAATCTTATGTTACAGATGCAGTACGTTACGCCTGCATTTCGTTTTCCCAATACTCCGGAACACTCGCCACACCTCTCCATTGTCTGGTGTATTGTGTTGTATTTGAGAGTCACTGTATGGATCACTTGTTGATGTCAGTCCTTTTAACTCTTTATAAAATTATATGTATATATATTTATATGTTTAATATTTATAATATTATATGTATACCGTATATTAGTAATATTATGTATGTTATTTTGTTCAAACTTTATGGCAGGTACTTAGCGTAGGTAGCGAGGCTGGTTCCCCGGTCGGTACAGGTGACCTCTTGTGGCCCAGGGGCCAGATTCACGAAAGCACTTACGCAAGCACTTACGAACGTGTACATCTTTCCTCAATCTTTGACGGCTTTGGTTACATTTATTAAACAGTTTACAAGCATGAAAACTTGCCAATCAACTGTTGTTATTGTTATAAACAGCCTCCTGGTGCTTCGGAGCTCATTAACTGTTTAATAATTGGAAACAAAGCCGCCAAAGACTGAGAAAAGATGTACAGGTTTGTAAGTCCTTGCTTAAGTGCTTTCGTGAATCTGGCCCCAGGTTGATGTCACCAGTTTCCAGTTACCCGATTTATAACCACTGATGCCGCCTCTTGCCACTATTCTATATTTCTAGTATTCTATATTTATAATATTCTATGCACGATTTTCCTTCACTTCCAACTTATATGTCGTTGTGATACCCGTTCCACATCACTGTTCCACGAATCACCGTTCACTATTTTTTTTTCTAATACACGCATGGGGTCCGTCTAATTACCACAAGCTGCCACAAACTACACAAACTTCAGAAAGCTTCCTGGCAATACGTTAGTAATGAATAAATATGATATATTAAGTTAGGCTGACCTAACCTAACCTAACTTAACCAAACCTAACCTAACCTAACGGAAGCTTGGATCGTCGACTTGATTTGGCGTCACCAGCTTTTTATTTTCGTCTAATTTCTTTATAAAAAGATACTTTTTCAGATTAAAATTATGTTTTTTCGTGTTGTACATTCAGCACCAACATTATAATGAGTAAATATATCATATTTATTCATTACTAACGTATTGCCAGAAAGCTTTCTGAAGTTTCTGAAGTTTGTGGTAGCTTGTGGTAATTAGACGGACCGCACGCATGTACACAAAGCCTCGTTCACTGGCTCACTCGTGGTCTCCCGTTTATTCTCTATTTAACACAAAGTTCTATTGTTAATGACTATTTTCAATTTTCCAGCGGGTCACTATGCACTTTGTTACGTCTGTAATCAGTAATCCACGGCAGTAGTCTTGGATGAAAAAAACGATTTTTCGCGGCAGGGGATCGTATTCCAGGGACCTGCCCGAAACGCTACGCGTACTAGTGAAGGTACAACTAGGGGAGTACAACTAGGAGAGTACAACTAGGTGAGTACAACTAGGCGAGAACAACTAGGCGAGTACAACTAGGTGAGTACAACTAGGCCAGTACAACTACGTGAGTACACCTAGGTGAGTACAACTAGGTGAGTACAACTAGGCGAGTACAACTAGGCGAGTACGACTGGGTGAGTACGACTAGGTGAGTACAACTAGGTGAGTACACCTAGGTGAGTACACCTAGGTGAGTACAACTAGGTGAGTATAACTAGGCGAGTACAACTAGGCGAGTACGACTGGGTGAGTACGACTAGGTGAGTACAACTAGGTGAGTACACCTAGATGAGTACAACTAGGCGAGTACAACTAGGCGAGTACAACTAGGTTAGTACAACTTGGCGAGTACAACTAAGTGAGTACAACTAGGTGAGTAAAACTAGGTGAGTACAACTAGGTGAGTACAACTAGGCGAGTACAACTAGGCGAGTACAAATAGGTGAGTACAACTAAGTGAGTACAACTTGGCGAGTACAACTAAGTGAGTACAACTAGGTGAGTAAAACTAGGTGAGTACGACTAGGTGAGTACAACTAGGCGAGTACAAATAGGCGAGTACAAATAGGTGAGTACATCTAGGTGAGTACATCTAGGTGAGTATGACTAGGTGAGTACAACTAGGCGAGTACAACTAGGCGAGTACAACTAGGCGAGTACAACTAGGCGAGTACAACTAGGGGAGTACAACTTGGCGAGTACAACTAAGTGAGTACAACTAGGTGAGTAAAACTAGGTGAGTACAACTAAGTGAGTACAACTAGGTGAGTATGACTAGGTGAGTACAACTAAGTGAGTACAACTAGGCGAGTACAACTAGGTGAGTACAACTAGGCGAGTACAACTAGGTGAGTACAACTAGGTGAGTACAACTAGGTGAGTACAACTAGGTGAGTACAACTAGGCGAGTACAACTAGGCGAGTACAAATAGGTGAGTACAACTAAGTGAGTACATCTAGGTGAGTACAACTAGGCGAGTACAACTAGGCGAGTACAAATAGGTGAGTACAACTAAGTGAGTACAACTAGGTGAGTAAAACTAGGTGAGTACAACTAGGTGAGTACAACTAGGCGAGTAAAACTAGGCGAGTACAACTAGGCGAGTACAACTAGGCGAGTACATCTAGGCGAGTACAACTAGGCGAGTACAACTAGGCGAGTACAACTAGGCGAGTACAACAAGGCGAGTACAACAAGGCGAGTACAACTAGGCGAGTACAACTAGGGGATTGCAACTAGGCGAGTACAACTAGGCGAGTACAACTAGGCGAGTAAAACTAGGCAAGTACAACTAGGCGAGTACAACTAGGCGAGTACAACTAGGCGAGTACAACTAGGCGAGTACAACTAGGGGATTACAACCAGGCGAGTACAACTAGGCGAGTACAACTAGGCGAGTACAACTAGGCGAGTACTAATCATCTGTACAACATCTGTTCTCCCAAACACTAACCACCATGACAAAATTTAAGAAGAATTTTTAATCCCAAACATATACCAGTAGAAATTGAAGGGACGACGACGTTTCGGTCCGTCCTGGACCATTCTCAAGTCGATTGTGACACAATCGACTTGAGAATGGTCCAGGACGGACCGAAACGTCGTCGTCCCTTCAATTTCTAGTGTGTGGTCTGGTCAACATACTTCAGCCACGTTATTGTGACTCATCGCCTGCATATACCAGTAATTCTTATGGCAGAGCTTAATGCTCAACCTAGTTAATCAAATTAAAATCTTTAGTCATAAATGGTTGCACATTTATAATTTGGAAAGTTTACATAAAAATTACCGGACATTAATTAACTGTCACAATGAAAACCCAACAGACATAATAATATTATGAAGATAATATTGCATTATAATAACATTAACATAAAAATACTGATTTTTGAATTTGATTGAAAACTGCTTAAATGCAAACTGAAATTAAAGGCCTAATAACATGAGGCCAATTTTAACCTTAAAATAGTAATCAACATATTAAATAAAAATAAAATTTTCACTAACCATCAATAACGTTGTGTCATTCATAATGATGAACCCTATTGGCTGGTGCAACTATATGAAGGCTTGTTAGACCCCCCGGACACTTCTTGCTTCTCCAGGAGCACTTTAATGTGGTGACCAGACCACACACTAGAAGGTGAAGGGACGACGACGTTTTAGTCCGTCTTAGACCATTCTCAAGTCGATTGTGTTGACGTCTGGTCCTTGAAACACAAGGAGGCTCAGTATAAGGTATTGGCTACAACTTGGACATTTTCCATACTCTATATTCCATGGCCGAAACTTTGTCCTTAACTTACAGTAACAATATGTGAATTGTTCGTCTAGGATAGTTACAGTGTTCTTGGGTAGTAAATTCGTGCTCAAAATATGATGGAAAATAGCAAGTTACAGTTGCCTTTCGGAGAAAAGTGTGAATAAAATTGTTCAGGAATTAGCTAAGTTGGTAGAGAAGCATGAATGTCTGAGTAAAGTGTCTATCTTGAGGTTATCTTGAGATGATTTCGGGGCTTTAGTGTCCCCGCGGCCCGGTCCTCGACCAGGCCTCCACCCCCAGGAAGCAGCCCGTGACAGCTGACTAACACCCAGGTACCTATTTTACTGCTAGGTAACAGGGGCATAGGGTGAAAGAAACTCTGCCCATTGTTTCTCGCCGGCGCCTGGGATCGAACCCAGGACCACAGGATCACAAGTCCCGCGTGCTGTCCGCTCGGCCGACCGGCTCCCCCGTCTAGTCGCGTACATAATAATTATAACCAGAGATGAGGAATTAAATAGTATTGGATCCTCACAATCTGTTCGGTGAAATATACTAGCTGAAAATTACTCAAATTGACACGGGGACTTAACTCACGAGACATTAGATTGCCTAAATCTAACATCACAAGTGGAGGGTCAGAGTCCGTGGCGCAGTGGTAACTCGCCTCACGCTTTGATTTTCGATTGAGTTCGTATTCTGGCTCGGAAGGATTGACTAGGCGCCAATCCTTATCTGTACGCTTTTATCGACTCAGCAGTAAATGGGTACCTGATTGTTGAACGATTTGGCGGATCGTATTCTGGGGGAAATTAAGATTAAGAACTTGCCCGAAATGCTATGTGTACTGGTGGCGGTACAAGAATGTAAGAACTATTGTATATATAAATAAAATACAATACAAAAGGAAAGAAAACAATTTCTGATACAGGAGTCCTTTCTTATACTGCATATGACAGGGCCTCGTAGCCTGGTGGATAGCGCGCAGGACTCGTAATTCTGTGGCGCGGGTTCGATTCCCGCACGAGGCAGAAACAAATGGGCAAAGTTTCTTTCACCCTGAATGCCCCTGTTACCTAGCAGTAAATAGGTACCTGGGAGTTAGTCAGCTGTCACGGGCTGCTTCCTGGGGGTGGAGGCCTGGTCGAGGACCGGGCCGCGGGGACACTAAAGCCCCGAAATCATCTCAAGATAACCTCAAGATAACCCCCTCAAAGGACAGCATCCTTGCTCTTGTGGTAACATGAGAGGAGGGCATGATCGATCACATACAGCTCTTGTGGTAACATGAGAGGAGGGCATGATCGATCACATACAGCTCTTGTGGTAACATGAGAGGAGGGCATGAGCGATCACATACAGCTCTTGTGGTAACATGAGAGGAGGGCATGATCGATCACATACAGCTCTTGTGGTAACATGAGAGGAGGGCATGATCGATCACATACAGCTCTTGTGGTAACATGAGAGGAGGGCATGATCGATCACATACAGCTCTTGTGGTAACATGAGAGGAGGGCATGATCGATCACATACAGCTCTTGTGGTAACATGAGAGGAGGGCATGATCGATCACATACAGCTCTTGTGGTAACATGAGAGGAGGGCATGATCGATCACATACAGCTAGAGCAGAGGCTCGCCACTTCGTGTGACCATAATATTATAAGATTGTAATTATAGAAATCCTTCTATAGGTTCCTAATGAAGACTTTCTAGACTACCCTTGAGGAGACCATCAAGGAATGAGCAAGGAATTGCAAAACATCTCCTGGAAGGAGTTAATACAAGATTAAGTCATGGATGAATCATACGACAATTTAAAAAGTCTTTACTGAACTTGTTCAAAAATATGTGCCGAGAAAGAAAACGAAAAGAGAACTAGATGGACGACACAAACAGTGAAAAAGAGCTCTAGTAACTAAGCGGAGCCTCTGGAGCAGGTATCAACCCACAAAGAACAACATATATTATGATATATACAGAAGGGTCTTAAATTTAGCCACCCCAGGGAATCAGATCAGCCAAAAGAAACTACGAAAGAAAGCTTGCTCAAGCAGTAAGAAAGATCCAAATTCCTTCTGTGCCGATATATGAAGCAAAAGACTCGGTAGGACTCTTCAAAAGATGAAACCAAGTTATAATCAACGACAAAAGGACAGCCAACACTCTGAATGACACATTTCATCAGTGTTCACACTGCAGAGTACTGATAACATCCAATACACACAGAGGTTTTTGAAGCAGGAGAATAGAATGAATTTGAACAACTGAATGAATCTTAGAATGAACAACTCTTGTATATATCTTGTACAGTCTCCGTGGAGTAGCGGTAAGACACTCGCCTGGCGTTCCGCGAGCGCTATGTCATGGGTTCGTATCCTGGCCGGGGAGGATTTACTGGGCGCAAATCCTTAACTGTAGCCTCTGTTTAACGCAACAGTAAAATGTGTACTTGGTTGTAACAACGATTCTTCGCGGCGGGGATCGTATTCCAGGGACCTGCCCGAAACGCTACGCGTACTAGTGGCTGTACAAGAATGTAACAACTCTTGTATATATCTCAAAAAAAAAAAAAAAAATTGATGGGTATTGTCCATAACAAGCGTTATAATCAGGTAAAGCACTATCAAACTGAAAGAATCAATAGGTCCAGATGTGGACGGAATTCAATCCAAAGTCATTAAGGAACTGACAGATGAACTATGTCTACCACTGAAACTTCTTTTATGAAAATCACTGGACCAAGGGATAATCAAATGTCACCCCAATTTTAAAAAAAGGCAGAAGAACTCGACAGAAAACTATCGTCCTATCAGCTTGGCCTCGTACATCTGCAAGCTCATGGAGAGAATCCCAAGGGAGGGAATCTTGCCCCATCTCATCGTGCACAGTCTAGTAAAATCAACTCAACATGGCTTTCTTAAAAATAAATCCTGTCTTACAAACCTGCTCATGTGTCTGGAAATGGTAACTAGCTATTCAGACAAAAGACCTCCAGCAGATGTGGTATTCATGGACTTTACTTAAGATTTTGAAAGGGTACCACATGTAAGACTGGCAAGGAAAATATATGTATGCAGAATATGCGGTAGAATACTAGAATGGTTAAAACAAAAGAAATCAAATGGCCGTCCTAAACGGAAATAAACTTGACTGGAGAAATATGGTGAATGGAGTACCGCATGATTCAATTTTGGGGCCAACCCTTTTTGTCATAAACATCTGTGACATGGATGAGAATATTACAAACCACATCATTAAAATCTGCAGATGACATTAAGGTTTATAATAAAGTAGGAAGTGACAATGATATTGAAGCCTTACAAAGAGATCTACATGAGCTCCACAAATGGTCGGAAGACTGACAAATGGTTTTCTATATCGAATAATGCAAGACCCTGCATGCTGGGCATAACAGTGTGCATCACAACTACTTTTTTTTTTTTTTTTTTTTTTTTTTTTTTTGAGATATATACAAGAGTTGTTACATTCTTGTACAGCCACTAGTACGCGTAGCGTTTCGGGCAAGTCCTTAATCCTATGGTCCCTGGAATACGATCCCCTGCCGCGAAGAATCGTTGTTACAACCAAGTACACATTTTACTGTTGCGTTAAACAGAGGCTACAGTTAAGGAATTGCGCCCAGTAAATCCTCCCCGGCCAGGATACGAACCCATGACATAGCGCTCGCGGAACGCCAGGCGAGTGTCTTACCACTACACCACGGAGACTACTAAACCAACAACATTACCTTGCAGTAGATGCATGAAGAAAATGACCTTAGAGTCAGAATCCATCATTCTCTGAATATTTCACAGCAAGTGGGAGCTGCACAAGAAATAGTTAAAAATTCCTAGGCTTAGTCAAAGGAAACTTTGACTTCAAGGAAAAACGGCAGTAATACAGTCGTACAATTGCCTGTTGCATATTGGATTATTGTATCCAAGCATAGAGACCTCATCCTCAGAAGGATATAGCTGCTTTACATAAAGTTTAACATAGGGCAACAAAAATCATTTCTGAATTAAGTCAACTCTCACACCAAGCCACCATGCAGGACAGAAAACAGAAGATGCTTTTTCACCCACAGGGTTTAAAACCCATGGAAACGCCTACCCGCCGAAACCGCAAATGCCAATACTGCTAAATTTCAAAATCAGTTTGATAAAATCATCAGGGCAAAATGGGAGGACCTTCGACAATCCTCTGGCTTCCTGTCCTCGCTATGGCCACTAGGGAGATGGTAGTCCTCAAAATATATCAAGAAAGGTTAAAACAATTTGGCATTCTTTCCATGATCAAATACGACGCACTTCACCCTAGGCAACTCTCTGTTATTCTTCCATTAATCCACATCTCACCTAAAGTATCTAAACCTGTGGATCTTCAGCCCAAAATTACGTTTGGCTCCTAATTAGTCAACCCAGTCGCCCAACCACTTGGGCTGGACGGTAGAGGGACGGTCCCGTTTCATACAGGTCGACGTTCATTCCACGACCGTCCAAGTGGTTGATGGGCACCATTCCTTCCCCCCGTCCCATCCCAAATCCTTATCCTGACCCCTTCCCAGTGCTATATAGTCGTAATAGCTAGGCGCTTTCTCCTGAAATTTCTCTCCCCTCCAGTCCCAGTCACCACTTATCCTTTTACTGAAATCTTTGAATATGTTAAGTAGCAAGTCCCTGTACATCGTCTGAGGTGTGCTCTACAGCTATGGTACTGTAGTGTGCTCTACAGCTATGGTACTGTAGTGTGCTCTACAGCTATGGTGCTCTAGTGTGCTCTACAGCAATGGTTCTGTAGTGTGCTCTACAGCTATGGTGCTCTAGTGTGCTCTACAGCAATGGTTCTGTAGTGTGCTCTACAGCTATGGTACTGTAGTGTGCTCTACAGCTATGGTGCTCTAGTGTGCTCTACAGCAATGGTTCTGTAGTGTGCTCTACA